AGAGGGATTTATATGCAGAACCTGCACTTACTTCAAGGAGCATTAGCCCCTTTGCCACTTGGAAATCCTTCCCCCGAACTACCTATCTTCATGCTAGCATGTAAATCATTTCTCAAAAAAAAAAACAAAAAAACAAAAAAACAAAATTATCCCTATGAAATTAAAGTATTTTATCTCTATGGATGCATAAATTATCTCAAATCTCAATAATATTGGAGTACCTAGAAAGAACATCCTAATGATACAGAAGGTGGAGCACTGCTTCTGACTGAAAGATTTGTATATCAGTAAACTATGAAAGGGTAGTGCCAGCAGCACCATAAATAATCGAAGAGTGTCCTTGATATCCCTGCAGTGGTCAGATGTGAACTCTTGTGCCAGCCTTGCTACCATGGAAGTCACAGGGAATTTTATCACTGAACTGAGGGGGACAGAGTTGGATTTCCGCCATCCAGAGGGGCTGGAAGGGGGAATATGTGGTCTTCTTTTCTGTGTAGGTATCTTTAGATGTACCTGCAAAATAGTTGAGTCATAAAACCGTTGAATCTTTGTGTTTTGCTGCTAAAGAGAATCCATAAAAATAGATTTATTGTCATATTTCCCTTTTGTGTTGTACTGTTCCCTTCTATCATAAAATATTCTCGATGGTTTATAGCAAAGCAAATACAGCAGCTTAGTTCATAAACGCCAAATTCCCCTCTGTTACATCCCGGATTTCAGACATTATCGAATTAGCTCCTATTTGTGTTGATACTGCTGTCCCGAGCCGCAATAAGGAGGTTTCTCGAGCCCTGATGTGCGCAGAGGGGTAGCTGTGCCGGGACCGAGGTGGACCCGCACCAGCCCGCAAGTCTGTAGGAACCCGCCCAGGCAGTTTTAACTTTTATTCTTCCTGACGAAGATTTAAAGCATCTTTGTTCAGTCAAGAATAAGTGGCTGTGGAAAATAGAACAAATCATAAGAGCATTTTAACAGAGAGAGGGGGAGCGAAGCCTGCAGAGCAAACCAACCGCTCGGACTGCCTTTTGTGGGGACAGATGGGCATGGAGGGCAAGGCGGCGCTCGGGGGAAATCTCTTCTGCTGGAAAGCTCGTGTCTTCAGAGCAGCTGCTGGAGGAAAAAAGAAAAACAAAACCAAAACACCCAGACAAAACACAACTCAGCATTTGGACAGGGAGATTCTGCTTTTCAGTTTGATTTTTTGATTTTGACCGAAGATCGCTCGCTCAGTGGCTCCTGTGGGCGGTCCCGCTCAACCCCCTGCCCCGGGAAAGGTGTCTGCGGGGCTGTACGGCAGAGGCCGGGGGGCCGAGGGGAGCTCGCCCCGGTGTGCCGGTAGCCACAAGCCAGGCTGTAATTACAAAGCAAACAAGAGTGAAATATTGGATCGGCGTCGCCCGTGACAAGATCTGCGCTTTTTACCGCCAATTTGTTTGTGGAGCTCTATTTAAAGGCGCTTGATTGAGGAAACGTTGAAAATAGCAGTTAGGGTTTCCCTAATGAGACCTCTAGAGGAAAGCAGTGGCATTCAGGGGGCTCTAGCAAGAGGAGGGGAAGCGCTTAACCCTTTCCAGCCGCCCTCATCTCGGCGGGGCTCCTCCTGGGAGCGGTATCGCCCGCGGGGCGCCGCCGGAGCCGCCCTCCCCCGGGAGGTGCGCTGGGCAGCGGGGCCAGCCCGCCGCCTCCCGCCAGCCTTCAGCACTTCGACCACCAGCCGGTGGGAGGGGTGGAGGCGGCCCCGCCGGGGCAGTGCCGGGGCAAGGCTGAGCATCCCTGGTGTTTCCCGGAGGGGGCGGACCGTGCCCCCGAGAGTGCGCTCCACGGGGACATCGGCGTCGGGACTCTGCCCCCGATGGCCTTTGATGTACTGGGTCGGATCGCCGGGTGGCTACGGGCTGATGCTTGAACCCAGCAGCAAAGGGCGAGCAGGAAAAAAAAAAAAAAAAAAAAAGCCCTTGGAAATGCTGAAAAGACCGGGAACGTATTGAACAAGAAACGATATTTTTCACACCAACACGAACTGTGCAGGGGCCTGTGACAGTCCCTTCCATACATCCATCGTTCCGATTTCTCTCACTTTTTGAGCCTGCCCCAACACTCATTCTCTCAACCTCACACAAGCTACGTGCTCAATTAGCGCCTGTCTGAGCCCCGTATTACACACAAATGAGAGAGACCTCTTGTAAAACGCATGTTGATAATATTTTGAAAGGCGCTAATGCCTGTGAGGAAGTGTGGATCACAGTCCTCTTCTGCAGGCTGCTTTCTCCTAGTGCTAACACTTGAACGACATTGAGATCTCCCCGCTCTCGATTTTATAAATCATCTTCAGTTGGGGAAAAACAGGACTTCCTTTCTCAATGAGCTGCCAGTAACCTGCAAGACCCTGGCATCTTACCTTGAGCATGTCTGCTTGCCCCTCTCTCTGGCCATCGCACCAACCTCTGCTCACACATCACCGTCAGCCTGTTCATCTTGTATATGTGTGTGTATATATATAGGTATGTATATACGTATGTGTGTATATACACCTGGACGGGGATCAAAATAAACTTTTAGGGTATACCTAATAAAAAGTGAGCATTGTCTCTCCCCAGAGGAAAGAAATAGTGAAAAGCAGAAAAACAAAGTGTTGACTTAGTAAAATAAGTTCTGCACGGTGATGTAAAATATTTATTTTTGTTGTCGCATTTACACCCCCAGGTTTTGGCCGCGGCTCCGTTTTCCTGCAGGTCTGGGGAGGAACATGACACTCAGTTCTCCATTTTCCGGTTTCTTAACTTTCCTGAAAAAAATAGTAAAAAAAAAAAAAAAATTCCGGCTACAGTGAAGCAAATAAACATTTTACGTATCCACAGATAGGTTGTATCATCTGTACGAACAAATTACAGTACGCGGCCGCACGTTTCTTGTAAAGTCTCCGGTCTTCTGTTTATGTAATGCCATTTCTGTTTGTAATTATTTTATTTTAATTTTATGTCACTTTTAACAGAAGCCAGACCGGTTTTCCCTCCATGTTTTGTATACAATGCTTTCTTTCTCGATAAGATGTTCTGTCCTATCTTTTCGGATTTTTTCTTTTAAAAAGTGTTTATAGTTCCCCACGAGCAATTCTCCAATATTTCTCTGTTGCATTTTAAGGACTTGTCCCTGTCTTGCTTTATTTGTTTGTGTGAAATTTAGTTTGAAAGGAGATCAGAGAGAGCAGGAGGGGTTTGTAATAAGAGAATGACCAAGCGACCTAAAGGCTGATTATATGTCATTAACTGGAGACTTGGTGTATCCAAATTACCAGAAAGACCTCACTCAGCCAGATCAATTACACCAAGATACGCATATAGGAATTGCGGTACGAGCTGATGCTTCCACCAAGTGTGCAGCCGACATTTGCAGAACTCAGCCTTTGAGTTTTCAGACGAGCTCCTGTCCTGAAGCCAGTCCCGGGCAAGCAGGAGCAGGGTGCAGTGCAGCAGGTACACGGCGCGGGGGGCACCGGCAGGACGACACTGACATTTTGGGGTTTGTAGTTAGGGCCAAATTGCAGTTAATTTTCACTGCTCCAGAGGGATTTTTTTTTTTTAAGCCGAGCGAGGTTACTTTTGATCTATGAATGCTTCTTAAACCCCAGCCTCTTTAAATGGAGACTTTCCATGAAAAATGACAATAAAAGTGTTGATTTTGGTTAGCCTAAACCCACAATGACGCCAGCCTAACCTTTTTCTTCCTCCAATGTCAGAACTTCAGATAATGGAGGACAAAATATTCATTAATTAAGTCAATTCTATTCGTGAGCTATTTCGTCAGAGTCAAGCTCAAGAGCATCTTAAGATGCTCTTTTCCGGAAATGCAAACAATATTACACGGAAAACCAGTATGTTTCTCGGTATACATGTGCGTGTTTATACATGCGCATGTATAGGAGATATCTGTATAACAATTCCAATAAATAGAGACACACTGCGTTCACTGCAGAATTTTGTAAGGTCTTTATTACCGTTCTTCTGACAAAGAAAGGGTCTTGTTTGGAGTTTGTAACGTTTTTCGGTTTTTTCTGTGATTCCTGTCTAGGTTCTAAATGCAACTCTGGATCCTCAGTCACAAATATAAGCAATCCTCGAATAATTGCTTGCACATGCAGTGATCAAGCGCGTAGGGTCCCGTGCTTACCGTCAATCATTGCGACTTCATTGAGACTTACGAAATGGTCAGTACCTTGGGTTTTTCTCGTCCCTGATCTTTTTCCTTTTTTTTTCTTTCTGTATACAAAACGACTGCGAGATTACCATGCCTGTAATACGTGGGCGTTCATCACCGATATTAGTAACGTAAAGCAGGGTTCCTCCATCTCCAACAGCAGCAATTAATCCGGGCCTGCTGGGCCCGATCCCGCCCTCTGCCCTGGACGTTGAAATCCAGTTGTGTGAGCGCAAGAGAGGGTGCAAGCAGGCCCATTAGGCACAAGTCCTTTTCATTAACCCTCACTGACATGTTGACCTTAAAATGATATTTCTCCGTGCCTCTTTTAAAAAATCCATTTTCTTCCGGGTTTAGGTCTTCTCGCGAACTCCTAAGCAATGGCCCAGGGATAGAATGCGTTGCAGCCCTGGGACACGGGCTGCTCCAGCGTCCCCAAATCCATTCGAGAACGATACCCCTTTCTAACACGTTTGGTCCCGGGTCAATGACATCACGCACTCTATAAATTCAAACGCGTCTCGGCTTTTGAAGCGTGCACCGGGTGTTTGAGCGATGTGGTAGGCAGCTGGGAGGCAGGAGAGGGAATCGGCACCCCAGTGCTTTGGGAGCTAAGGGGAGGAGAGCCGTCGAGGGGGCTGCCCGCCTAGGACAGCGCCTCAAAAGCAAAGGACGGGGTGCCTGCCCTTGGGATGCTTCAGTGTGTCTGACTGTTTCTTTGCTTTAATGAAAACTACGAAGGGAGATCCCGGCGCTGCTGCAAGGAGCAGGGACAGGCGGGTCTGTGGTCGGTACCGGGTACCGCAATGCTGACGCGGGGCCGCCGCTCCCGCCGCTGCTCTGTCCCGGATGGCGTCCAGTTGCCCAAACTCGCCCCGCCGGCATCGTACCCTCCTCAAAAAGAAGGTGCGGTAAAGAAGTAAATAAAAGGGAGGCTCGCTGCCCAGCCATCCGCGAGGCGCTTCTCTGCCCCCGGCCTGCTCCTCAAAGGGCTTGTCGCGGGGTGGCTGCGGCGCTCCCAGCCAGCCAGCACAGGCGTCCCCAGCAGATGTGGGTTTCCGACCACCCAGCGTAGGTACCTCGTCCCCGTTTCCATGTGGTTTTTCCCGACTGATTCGGAGAAATTAGCTTAATTTGCAATTTAGCTTAATTCACATAAGACCGGGGGGGGGGGGGCACAACTCTATTGTTCTGTATAACTCCCATCCTACTTTTGGCCCGGGAGAGAAGTGACCTGACGAAGCGACCGGCGGACGACTGCGCGCGGGGCAGGGCAGCGGGTGGCCCCGGCGGCGCTGAGCGGACCCTGCCGCCACCCCCCGGCTGCCCCTCTCCTCGGGTTCCTGCCGCCCACTCCCCGGGCGCCGCGGCGCACCCATCGGGGGGCAAGGGCAGCCCCATCCTCCCACTCAGCCCTGGGAGGGCTGTCGTGCTGGAGAGGCAACAAAGGCAAGGCAAAAGCAAAGATACAGTCCCCCCCACCCCCGACAAAATAAAATTAATTTTAAAAACCGGGAAGAGGAAGAGAAAACTAGCCTCAGCACAGTCACCACCAAAATTTCTTTATTATAGCAAGTTAGGAAAGTCCTGTCTGGCAGCAGAGTTCAGATAAATCGCCATCTAACATGCAACCATTTTGGCAGGGAAATAAAGTGACATAAGACTTTTTTTTCCTTTTTTTTTTTTTCCTAGTTGGTTTGGGTTTTTTCCCCATGTGATTTGTGCACGAGAAAAAAATCTATTCAAATCAAAAAATGGAAGGTCGGCAAGATACTAATGCTTTTTAGAGGACTGTGAGCATAGTATTGGGAAAGGTATTTTGTGCTGAAGCGGCTTTACACGCGTGGATCAAACAGAAAAGGCTGCAACCCATGATAGGGCATCCTGAGTAGTGAAAAACTGAGGGAGGAGACAAGAGCTAAATTGCTCTAAAACTCGATTTATAAAACTCATAAACAACTGATGGGATAGGATAGGAGGAAAATATAAGATCCTGCTGGGTGCTTTATCTAGAGACCCTCTTTCTCCAAAGTTAATTAAACAATAATGATGCTAGCTTTGGAGACTGGTGTTCTGATCGATATCTCCTGTACATTTTATTACTTTTTCTCTGTCTCATGTTTTCCGTTTCCTTCATCATGGGAGATGTTATCGGAGTGATCGTAGTGGCCTGCCACAGAGACTGTCACAGTTGCAGTCCAGCCTGCAGTATATTGGAAAGCTCCTACACAAACAGGGAGAGTGCAAAGAAAGACAATCCCGTCTGCAAGCCAATATAACTTTCAGGCCTTGACAATGCCCACTTCTTCTTCGCATCAAGTAAATATTGCAGCAAAATAAAACTGGAGAACCGCTGCAGGATCTGGGTGGATTTTCAGGCTGAGCTCTGCAGATATTGCATCCCGAGCAGCAGAGGCATGCTGCCTGGTCGCTCCGGGGTTCTGCTCTGCCTGCACGGTCTGCCCAGGTCCTTCCTTAAATTTAAAAATCCGCCCTGCAGACACGTTATTTCCTTAGGATAATACAATATATACATATGTGTGTATGCGTATATAAATACAGATATGCATCAGTCGGTTACAAGCATGTGTGTGTACGTATGAGATATATGTGTGTATACATCAATTCTACATCTGGACTAGTTTTTCACTTTCGTACTCAGTTTACACCCAGACGCTCACGCATATGTGTATATGCTTATAAAATGTACGCCTGCGTGTCTGTGCTCCGTGCACGTCTCCTCACTGTGCAAGTCCAGCTCTGCACTCCCCGTCCTGTAGAACCGCGGGGCCGGCGCCGCGCTTCGCCTTTGGTATTTCCCCGACGAACCCAACTCCCCAGTACCGCAGCAGGCTGCTCCTTGGCGGACGGTCTCGTCCGCGGAGACTGTCCCCTGCCTGCAGGGCATTTCCTGCCGAGAGCCCGCAGACTCACCCGCAAAGTCCCCGGGCCCCAACAACCCCCTGTGTCCCGGTGGCACCCCGACGGCCAGCCCGTCGGCAGCCTCTCCTCGCGCCGAGACCGCCCGGGTTCAGTTTGCCTCCTCTACCCGGGCATTGAGTTGATTTTCGCCCTCTTCCCAGCACCCAGCACTTTCCCCCGCGGTTTTTCCCGACTCTGCAGTGGGGCCGCAGAGCACACTGAGCTGCTGCAGAAATTGGACTTGCAGCTCTTGCTGCTTCCTTTCACAGACTCCTCCATCTCTATCTTTCTCTTTCTTTAATTTATGACTTCTCAGCTCCTGTTGACACAGTTTTCCACACTGCCTATATTGTAAAATTGCATTGTAATATACACCGAAGCAGCCTAGACGTCAGCCAGCACAGCTAAGGCTGGGTATTTGATATTTCGCAGCTATTTAGTAATGCTCGGTTCCATTTGAAGATGACAACAATTCTCTTCGACTCCTAGTTATCCATGAGTTGCAGCTTGAGATCCATTTTTCTTTTGTAATGTCTTAAAGCTTACCGAAGTAAAGCACCTAAATAGCTACGAAACATTTCCTCCTGGCCTGGCCGTTAAACAAACATTTAACTACTCCCTTTCGATAACTAAACCTGCTTTCTGCAGATGCTTTTTTTATTGCAGAAGTAGGAATGTGGCGATTTTTTTTTTTTTTTTTTTTAGTAAAAGCTAGAAAATTAGCTGGGAACATGTTGTAAAAAAATACTCGGTTACTTACCGATCATAGCAGCTAAAGAGGCATGAAACCCATTTCAGGCGCTTAAATCACTCGAGTGAACACTGGTGGAGATGCATAGGCGCAGGAAGTAAGCTGGAAAAGAATTGGTTAAAGTCAGACTTATTGTTAGTGTCTCAAAGCAATTCTTTCTGGAAGAAAACACCGTCCCCGGCCAAACCCCGAGCGCTTCGCTCCCTCGGTCAGTCAGCAGCCGCGCAGCCGGAGCCAGCCCGTGCTAACCCGGGTCGCACGTCGGGTGACAGGCGAGGCAGAGTAGCTTCGCCCCCTCCTCACGGGAACTAACAATCTCGTTGTGTATATTAACCAGCAATACAAGTATAAGCCGGAGCGCTGCTGGGGCATGTCTGTCACAACCGGGCACCGATGGAGTGCGCTCTCCGAAGCCGGTTTTATTTGTTCCTCTACCGGACCGGCACAAAGCACTTTGCCAAAGCAACCTCAGAGCCTATCAAGTGCTCACATAGATTTTTGCCAAGAAATTCCTTGGATCCATACTGTACCTGGTTTGAGATTATCCGATATTTAAGTTTTAATTAGTTTGTGTGTGTGGGGGGGGTTGTTATTGCTTTTTTTAATATCTTTTTTAATGTAGATTTTACTATAAGGCATCTGCTAAACACTTGCATTAACCTCTGCCTCCATGATAATTTTCCCCCCCTTGTTTTAATTACATTAGGGATGCGGAGGGGCAGCCAATCCTAAAAGAGGAGCTCGGCAATTAGCAGAGTGAACATCAAAAAGTTTTATTGCGGAGGGCGGCGGGCCCCGCCCCCGCCGCGGCCATTGGACATATATTACCCGACGCGGCCCTAAACATTGTAGCGTACATGGAGATTGGGCCGGAGCCCCTGCCATGCCCCGCGCCGCGCCGAGCCCCGCTGCCGCCGCGCCCGCAGAGCGGCGCGGAATGTCCAAGGAGCACCGAGGCGCCTTGACCCCCGTGGCGGGCAGGTCCTCAGCAAGGGAATCGAGTGCCCGCCCAGGCACTGACGGCCCCGCCGCCGACGCAAGGGCAGAGGGAGCGCCGCCCGCCCCGCCCGCCCCGAAACCGGGGGCAGCATGGAGGGGCCGCGTGTAAGTACCACCCGGCCGGGTCGCGACGGACTTGGCGAGAGGAGAAGGAGGGAAGAAAGAGGCGAGGAAGATCCCGGGCTGGGAAGCCAAGCCATTTTGTTTTGGTCGACATCTCTCCATAGCTTTTTTATTATTATTTTTTCTGTGTGCGCTTCCTCGAAGACCCGGCCCTGGGCAAGGAGGAGAAGGAGGTGGAGGCACAACGCATGAGCGGCGGCGGCGGCGCCCGGGGAGGGGGGATCGCTCGGCACCCGGGGGACTTTGCAGCATCACCCTATGGAGAGGCAGCGGGCAGCGGGACAGTGGCGAGGCGAGCGGCGGGCAGCATCTCCCGCCGCTCGGCGGCGGGTGGGGGGCGGGTGGGGAGGGGAAACCTTTGTTTTGGGGCCCTGGGGGGAGGGGTGGGTGCTCTAGGGAGCGGGATGAGTTAGTGGGCGCTTCCCCCACCACCCGGTGGTGCACATGAGGGTTACCCTTTCGCGCCGCCGCCGCCGCTGCCGCCGCCGCCAACACGCTGCGCGCCACGAGGAGAACCCCTACTTCCAACGGCTGGCTCATCAGCAGTCACCGGAATGTCCCCCCCCGACTACAGAATGGCTCTGTCCTACAGTCCCGAGTACGCACAACGGGGCGCTCGCATGGACCACTCCATTACGGGGGGGTGCCGCCCGGGAACGGCCCGCCAGGGCTCGGGGGGCCCCGGCCGGTGAAACGCAGGGGCACGGCGAACCGCAAGGAGCGGCGCAGGACTCAGAGCATCAACAGCGCCTTCGCGGAGCTGAGGGAGTGCATCCCCAACGTGCCCGCCGACACTAAGCTCTCCAAGATCAAAACCCTCCGTCTGGCCACCAGCTACATCGCCTACCTCATGGACCTGCTGGCGAAGGACGACCAGAACGGGGAGGCGGAGGCCTTCAAGGCAGAGATCAAGAAGACAGACGTGAAGGAAGAGAAGAGGAAGAAGGAGCTGGTCAGTGCTCCGGAACGGGACGGGGCGGGATGGGTCAGGGGAGGCGCGGAGAGGAGGCTGCTCGGCTGCCCGCCGGCACCCTGTCCCGGCGCTCCCGGCGCCTGGCTGAGCAGAGTGGCCGGGGGATGTCCATGGGAGACACCTCGGTCCCACTCGTCCCTGGCCGTAACTGCGGGCCAAAAGTGGGACAGCGCACAGCCGCGGGCGGCCGTCGGCGTCCGAATCCGAACCGGAGGCTGAGAGCAGCCGCGAGGAAAACGTTGACACATTAGGGCCCCCCGGGGAGGTTACTTCCCGGGCTGCTGCTTGTCCCGGATCCCAAACCGTGATCCCGCAGGAGACAAACCTCCTCTCTCTTTAAATAAAAGTCTGGAGGCATGATTATCTGCTAAGCCAGCACGGCTTTAAACCGTCGGCAAGTACGAGGTTTGCAGCAATAGGCTTTCCTGCCCCTGCGCTCGGCGCTTCAACTTTTTTTATTTTTTACGGGACAGTCAGCTTGGGCAACGCAAGCCCGATTTCGTGTAGGCCCTGTGGCACGCTTACGTGTGATTGATTCCCGTAGATTTGGGCTGGTCGCGAATCCGATGTTTTGCCTCGATAAGTGCCAGTGCCCATCTCCTCCACGCAATCAGGGAGGGGGTATGGTTTAGCCGAGACCTTATCGTGATCCCCATCACCCCGTGGACGACTGGCGCCGCTCAGCCTCCAACCCGCTTCACCGTGCTCCAGGCGTGGAGGGCAGCGGGATGGCGCGAAGCGGGGATCGGCCTCCGCCGGGAACACGGGCAGCCGCGCACGACACAGGGCCGCTCCCACGGGCGGCTGCTTCGCCCGCGGCAAGACCCCGTGGAGGGGGCCCCGCTCTGTCCGCTGCAGCCCGCAGGCCTCCACAGCAGCTCAGGTCTAGACCCTCATAGTTTTCGATCTCGAGACAGGGCAGATGCGAACTAGAAAGGAGAGGAATATATCTAACCTTTTTTTTCTCTGCTTTCCCCCTCCTGTTTCTCTCTCTTCCCTCGCATCCTGTCTCCCCAGAACGAAATCTTGAAAAGCACAGTTAGCAGCAACGATAAGAAAACCAAAGGGAGGACTGGCTGGCCGCAGCATGTCTGGGCTTTGGAGCTCAAGCAGTGAGCACGACAGGACTGGAGGAGCCGTCCTCTTAGTCTCGGTAGTGAGCTCTTCTCTGAGGACTCTTTGTATTTGGAATCGTCCAGTTTATTTATGTGCAATTTCTCCCCCAACCCCCCCAAAATGTGGATATTTGAAGGAGAGGGAAAAAGCATTCCATATATGAAGAGGAAACTCCAGCTTGGTAAGGGGTAATGTCTCTAAATGTTTCGTGAATGTTATTTGCTCTGTATAAAACACATGGGGAAAACAGAACCATAGAAAAGGAAAAAAAAAATCCCTCCCTGGCATTAGTGTGTATGTGAAGTGTATCTTTATTACTTGGCCTTTTGGATATAAATATTCATGGGATTATAAAGCTATATTTCAACAGAAGCAGTTGCACCAATGTTTCGATTGACTCGGTATTTAGTGTTGTAATTTTGTTGTGGTCGTTCAGTATTTGAAGATGTTTTCAACAGTTACTGGGTATGTGCACTTCCGTCCGTAAGGGGAAAAGTGGAATCTAATTAATATTGAAGGTGTAAACGTTGTAAGTACTCAATAAACCACTGTGTGTGTTTTTTACAAAACAAAAGGAAAAAAAAAAAGAAAAAGAAAAAAAAAAGAAAATCCAAATCTTTTTATGTTTTATACCTCAAAATGTTTTGAATAACAGCGTTGTTTATGGCTTTTTTTTCATAATATTTAAAATATTCGGAAGTAAACTAAATTATAAAGATGGCTCCTAAGTTTATTTTTAAACAAATGACTGAGTGAAAGGAGGGGTAGAGGGAGGGATCTCTCAGCCCCGTGAGTGTTGAACAGAAACCGGCAGTTCAGCTGGGTAGAAATTCCTTGTGGTGGTGTTCTCCATGCAGGAGACCTACTGCGAACGGGAAATGGACAAGGGTGCAAACCCCGGGCGGGTCAGGAATAGCAGATATGCGCGGTTTTCTTGCCGCCGGAGTCCGGGCGGCGGCGGTGCCAGGCGCGGGCCCGGAGCGGGGGAGGACCGCGGGGGCGGCTTCCCAGAGAGAGGCCGGAGGCAGGCGAGAGAGGGCCGGCGGGCTTTTCTCGGAGTGATTATGTAGCAGGTAATTTTACGTCAAGGAATAAAGAGCGAACAAGGCAAGGGATTTGCGGAGGCGTACGGGGGGAGGAGGTGATGGTGTTGTAGGGAATATGTAAGATTTACAATGAGCTATGGTGAACTTAATATTAACTTTGTGGTTCCTAAAACTCTCCTGGGTTGCACGTTTCCAGTACGCTACAGCGAGTACAGGGGTTTTTTAACCTTTTTTATCTAACTGTAAACTGCAGCAGCCCATGCTCTGGCTCTACTTAGTAGGTTCACTGCTTTCTCAACAGGATCTCTCTTCCTTTATATCTCTCTCCCTGTCTCTAGGCTCCTTTACAAGGGTCTCGTTCCTAGGTCTGCAAGTTTTCTGCTCCCCAGTACCAGGGCGAGCTGCAGACATTCAGAGCTGGAAAATGCGTGGCGTGCTTCTGTACCATAAGCAGGCAAGGGAAAAATTAAAAGGTTTTCACATAAGGAAGCTGCTCTAGGTATTTTTGCCATTCCTGGTTAAGCATAAAGTTTTCCACCTTTTCCATAATGAAATTCGGGCTCGTATTTTAAATCATCTCAATTTAAACCAAGCTGGCTCTCTCTTCAGGTCCAAGGCTTCATACCTGCCTGCCTTCCCGTACCACCGCGCCTAAGGAAGTGGTTCCCGACGAGATCTGGCGTAAGCGTAGGTAGATGTGCAATTGCCCATAAAAAGATAAGGGAGCCCTTGCGCCGTTTAGTCGCCCCTGCTGACAGTGGGGAGGTTGCGGGGTTACAACAACCGGACAAAAGTGATGTGCCCTCCCTCCCGTCGGGTCAGGCAGCCCGGCTCTGCTCTCCGGCGTGGGTCTGTGTTTACAGGCACTTGCCTCTGTTTATAACACTTGGAGAGAAGAATCTCCCGCCTTGTTTGCTTTTACTTGCCTATTAGCTGTCCAGCTGATGAACTGGAGCTTCTCGCAATCCCCATTCTCTGCTCAAACAACTGTTGTTTTTTCTTTATAGCGGTACACGAAAGAATAAAAGGGGAGAGGGGTGGCTGCGGTGCGGCAGGTTCCAGGCAGCCTCTCTGCAGATGCTGTGTCTTCCCTTCACCGAGTTACCAGGCTACAATTCCCCCGGGGAATGCGCGGCAGGGCCGGGGGCTAGCGGGCCGCTCCGATATGCAATCTCCGAATCGCCTGTCCGATATTTCCCCCCCAATAATTTTCCATTTTTAAAACGTCAGATTATCAGAACCGTGAGCTCCTCTGGGTCCACTACGGACTACCTCTTTTAATTGCTCACTAACGAGGATGTTGCTATTTTCTCAGGAGCAGCCATTCCCGCAGCCAAATCACAAGAGCCCTAGACAGGCCGGAGCCGACAAAAATGTAGGGTTTGACGTTAAAAGCTAAATGGGGAAGCAGAAGGTAAATTGATGGTAGATGGGGATGTCAGTGCCCTGGCCTCAGCTCTTCGCCGGCGGAGCCGAGGCCTGATAACAGTGGAGCGCTGCGCCCCGCTCCCTGCCCGCACCCGGGGGCATCACCGTCCCGTCGACTTGCCCGGTAATTCCTCGGGGCCAAAATATTTTTAGGAGCTTTTACCGAGGTGATAGGCACGTAGGAGGAGGGACGGTAGCCTTTCCCACTCTACAACTTTTCTGTGCGGGTGCGGGGAGGAAGAGAGAGGGGAGAGCAGAGAACCGGTGGAGAGCAGATGGGTCACTGAAGCCCTGTCACTGCAGACGGATTCATGGACCCATGAATGGCCTCGTTTCATGGGTGAGGGAGAGATCCTCTACTCGGTCTCAAGCAACATAGCATTTCAATTTTTTTCTTCCCCTTGAAGAGGAAGAGCGACAAACCTCCCTGGGGTGACATCCTTCTTCCCCTGCCCTCCCAGGGACCGATCCCTCGGTTTCCCCGGGATGCGGGCCCGGTTACATGCCCGAAACAGAGCGGTTGCCTCCTCGCAAGGAGGCAAGGACCTCCCTAGCGGCGGCGTGAGCCCCCGGGGACCCCGAGGGTGTTCGATTCGGGCAGACAGAAGCATGGGTTTTAAGAGCTCGTCCTGGTTTTGGGAAACATTGACGCAGCAAGGGACCGGCCCTGTACCCCGCCGCTGGCAGCAAACCCGTTGGCAACCGGCAGTACTGAGTTTTGGGGGATTTTCAGCAATGTGTGGGACCCCTATAGGACCTCGTTGCTATCGAGTGTGGATGCCATGCCTGCATTCCTGCAGGCAAGGGAGATAAACGATGGTGGGCCTTTTTTTTTTTCCTTTCGTTTTGCTTTTTATTGTGGGGAATTTGGTCTTTTTTCCCATCCCCACTCCCCCATCGTTCCCAGGAGCTCTTGTCTAAGTCAAAAGATTATTGCAATAATTAGTGCTTATTTGCTATCGTTGTCAAAAAGGTGTAACGGGGCCTCTCTGGTCAAGCCGCAGACACCCCCAGAACAAGCGCCGGGACATACGCGGCCAAATATAGGGATATAAACACGACCAGGGGATGCCGTGGAGACAGCATGAGCTTGAAAGGTGGGCGGGGAGGGGGGGAGAGAAGGTTAATAATAAAACCTCTAAGCAAAATATCCTCTTTTTGCGCTTGGAAACCCAACCTTAATCCTTTTTCACACGTACTCGCCCGGCGAGTCACAAACACACAGAAGAAACCTCCAAGCAGCGATGGGAAGGAAACGCATTCTGCACGCTTACAGACATAATCCCCTCTGCTGTAACGAGAGGCTTATCGATGTTTTATGTATTTTTAATTTTGGAAATTTTTTTTCGGTGGGCCATGAAATACGTGCCTTTGCAAACCAGCTACAATCTTTTCTATTTCTAATTGGCCAATTACTGTTCGACTGTTTCGGCTTGTCACAAGGGAGAGTAAAGCAGAGTTGTTATCTGAATTATACATTCACATAAATTCTAGCAAAGCCGGGTGATGCGCAGGGCCAGCGGCTCTCTGGTGTATCCCGCGCCTCCCTCTCCACCTTCCAAACCAGTGCAGTGTGTGTCTCCTTCTTCCACAGCTTTCCCTCCCCCAACCCCATTTGCCTCTAGAAATACCATTGCTTTGATGATGCGATTTTAGAGCATTGATTACAAATTTATTCTCAGACACTATATAAGTCTTTATATCTGCTATTAGAGACATCTGGGAATGATTAGAGCCGTCCCTCCCCCGGCTGTGCTCCCTCTATCTTGCAGCGAGGAGCTAGAGACATGTTGACGTCAGATCAGACGGCTCGGAGCCATCCTGCTCTCCACTTGGGTGTAATCACGGCGACGCTTTCCAAGCCCCGGCCCGGCCGCGGCCGCCAGCTGGGATGTGGGTGCAGCGGGACGCGACACTCCCGCCCCGGGGCTCCTCGACACAGCCCAATTTCGAGCCCCCGAATTCTCCGGCACTTCTGGAGTTTGCCGCCGAGGTTGTTTGTTTATTTGTCTGTTTGAGACTTTGAGAAAGCAAAAGCGGTGCATTCCGCGGGCGATGTTATTCCTCCACCCCCCAGCCCCCCCTCCCCAAATCCCAGCCCAGCTCTTGCTTTATCTCAGCTCGATTTCTCCCGGCGCATTCGCTCACAGCGCTGTCTTCCAAAGTAAATATCGAACCAGGCAGATTTCCACCTTATGTCTTGGCAGGGAGAAATTAGCCAAACAAAGTGCAACGCTTACGCGCGGGCAGTCCCAGGCGCGCCGACACCCCGCTATCCAAAGTGGTAGTCAGGTTTACAACAAGCCGGGAGAGTTGGAGGCTGCTCTAAAACAAGACGATTCCCTACCCAAACGGCAGTGCTGCTGGCGAAGAGATGGCTTTGCACCTGCTATTAAATCCTAATGAATTGCCTCTAATTGAGATCTGGGGCTGGCTGACGGTAACGCCGAGCAGCCAGTTTGGAAGCCCTGGCTCGCGGGGCTCCGAGACTAAGTTTGCTACTCTTATTTTCACAAACTTTTAACTTTACGGTTCTTTTTTTTGTGTCCTACCACTCTTTATTTTTTTTCCCCTAAGGAGATAAAAAAATAATAATTGAATAAGTACAACTTAAGCCTCCGCTGGCTGTTAGCACTCTTGGACGGCTGACACTTGTTCAGCTGTACATTACAATCAATGCTACTACCAGGAAGGAGCGGGCGGGGGTGTGGGGGTGGTGTGTGGATGAGAAAGCAGTTGACTTAGTCTCCAGAGGAAAAAGATAATGTTAGACTGTTTATCTAAAGGATTAAATTCTCGCTGTAAAATACGCTTGCCAGGAGGAGGGAGAAAAGGAAGCAAAAAAAAAAGCCCCGTGTGACCTTAAAAATAAATTAAAAATACTTCTATTTCTTTGTTCCAGCAGAATAAAATAAAATAAAACCCCTAATATACCGCAACGCTCCGCTGTGTCTATCTGTAATCTCGAAAGGAAAAGGAACTATTTCCTTTCTGAATCAGTGCAAACGGTATGCTGTGAATTCGGCTTCCCGCCACAGCCACCGACCCCGGGGGTCGGGAGGGGTAAGTGAATTTAAAAAAAAAAAAAGTAGACGTAAAAGTAAAAAAAATAACCCTATGAAACAAACCCTAATCGAAAAA